CTTTCCTGGTACCATGCCTTCTAATATCACTTTTTTTTCAAACTGCAATGGCGTTTCATATGACCAAAATATGTCATCTTCCGAGACAAGATGCTGTTTGTTAGCCTATCTTCTTTGATGTTCAGATCTTTTAAAATATCAGTATTTCTTTTCTTCTTTGTCCATGGTATTCTGATAATCTTTCTTTAGCATTTCAGCTCAAAAGCCCCTATACTCTTTCTTAAGGACTGGGAAATAATCCACGAATCACATCGGTATGTAGCTACAGGGAAGACACATGCTCTCAAAATTCAAATTTTGACTTCCTTGCTGGTTTTTAACCATAGACTTTTAATGCTGTTCAAGCTTTACTCCAGCACAAGAAGATCATTAATGTAATACAACTGGCAGGTGATTGGTGGGCCACTTGCTAGGCCTCTGCAGGCTGCCAGCTGAATAGCCCTGGTCTTGGTGTTATGCATACCAACCCAAATTTGACTACAGGATACTCTGTAACCAGCGGGTGCTCTATATCACTGTTATACGGCTGATGTGGTTTTATAGACGAATAATGAGAATACCCTGGACAAATAAAAAAAGAGGGATGAAGATGTCTTGAAAGTGAACTGATTGCCCACATCAGAGAGAGACAATCTCCATTCTTTGGTCATGTAATGAGAAGGAGAAAACTGGAGTACATCATGACAGTAGTAAAGTTGGAGAGGAGGAGAGGTAGAGAGAGACTTAGAGAATATATGCTGGACAGTCTGATATCATGGTATGGAGAATCATCTGTGCAAGAGTTGACTGAAAGTACACGAGATAGAAGGCTGTGGATAGATATAACTACAAACGCCACATGGGATGGACTTTAAGAAGAAAATAGGGGTTGAACGGGGTTTCTGGGATTCGCTCCTGTTGGATTCTCATCCAAACAGTGTCTCCTTGAGTTACTGGATGTTGATCTGTCATAGGCTGCAATCCTAGAGGGGAAACATTTTTTAAATTTAAAAACAAAATTGAACAAAAAATTAAATTTAAAACAAAAACAAAACAAACAAAAACTACTGACTGTATCCTTGACATAGTCAATGCTGTAATACTTGGACTGCACCTGGGCTAGGATCTCTGTAGAGGAACCTGGCAGTGGGTGCGGGCCATGGTAGACTTGGTCCAACATGGAGAAGAAAACCTGCTGCTGCATGTCCTGTAGGAGAGGTTCAACCAGCAATTTACAAGCTGTATGATGTGATTATGAACAGTGGGGTAAGTACTCGGCTGGTGACCTGGAGGTCGAAGGTTCAAATCCACATCGAGGCGGACTTTTTTCTTCAAAACTGAGCTTGGCTCTCTGACAAAGTGATGGTCTTGGAGGTAGAGGCAGCCAGCAGGATGCTGACCACATCACACAATGAGTCATCTACACAATATAGGTCTAGCACTATATACCTGATGCAATAAAGCGTGAGTAGGAGAGGCAGGGGTCGACCAACACAAAGATGGGCACAGAATATAAGTGACTCTTTGAAAATGAAAGTACATGAGGTGGGAGAGCAGGCAAGTGACCAAGTTTCTTTCAGGCAGACGGTGATGAGAGTGACGTTCTGCAAAGGACCTGCTATATGATGACGATATGCCTGATGCACTAAAGCATGAAACGGGTCCTTTACTTACTCACTATGACATGAGTATCACAGTACACTTTCATTCTTTCCGTAGACTGGCTGTATACTCTGGTAGAAAGTTCTGCTTGTTCATCTGCTTTGGCTTTGTTCCAGAACTTGCGTTTGTGTGTGTGTATGTGCACATTTGTTTCAAAGATCTGCTTTATTTGTATGCAGACTGTTGGTTCCCCACCTCTCAGGCAAATGCCCTCAGACTTTGTAGGAAACATCCCTAATTAGTTGCCATTTACAACATGTGTGTTAGGGTGCTGTGATCTACACCCCCCCCCCCCCACCCCAAAAAAATGGGGTCAGAGGAACCAACATAGGGAATTCCAGGCAACTCCAGTTACAACCATATGAATGTTCTATCTTTAGTTAAGTGAATAAGTGGTCTTTTGATTGGTTATGCTCCGTTTAGGGAGCCACCGTGGTGCAGCAGCTAGATGCTCACCTGCGGATCGGAAGGTCCTGGGTCGGTTCTTGACGGACCCTGACTTTTTTTAAAAAATGACCATATTCCCATGTCCGCCCAGCCCTGAGTGGCTACCAGGTACTGTCTTGGGAAGTAAAGATGGCCGGCGTGATGCTGACCACATCACCCACTGAATGCTGACTGGTCTATAAAATATAGGTCTAGCCCTATATGCCCAAAACGCCTGAAGGCGTGGAAAGGGGTCCTTTACTTGACTATGCTTGGTTAAGCCCTGTCTCAGGTCTGAAGACTGCTACTTGTTCTCTCAAGTCAATCTGGTACTATGTAGCACACACACAGAAAGTCCAGAAAGGTCTAGCCCCAATGTATGCAAAGTTTCTCAAACCTGTACACTTGTTGACACAACAGAATACAGACGATGAGAAATTCTATCAAAATGTCCCATCATCACTGCATGACAACCTGAGCAAGAAGAACAATAAAACTGCACCTAGTTTGACAAGAAAGAGTACATAAGACAATAAATACTAGACAAGCCTTGCATCCTGACATTAAAACATGAACGGGTTGTTAGAATGTAGCAAAGTTGAATAAATACAAGATAAATCCTGAATCCTGGCATGAAGACCCAAACTAGAGGTTCAACAAACTGCACATTGAATGACATGAAAGAAAACATAAGACAAAAAGAATTACTAGAAAACTTGCAAAATCTTTAAAATGGACAGGCACATAAAACTTAAGTTCTGGGATAAGACTAAAGTCCAGTAGTGGACCTTTACATATATATATACACATATATACAAACACACATACACACATATGGGCATAACACTACAAAATACAGATTTTAAAGAATTAAATGGTATAATAAAACAAAACATGGATCTGTTAGCAAAAAAATGGGTTTAACACAATATATTCATCTAACAATACAAAACATAGGGATAACACTATGAAACATGGGTCTAACAAAGAAAAAACAAAGACTCAACAACATAAAACATAGATACAAAAGAGCATAGATATAAACAACTTATTAACACATGGGTCTGACAGAACCCAAAAAAAAATGGATTGCACATCATGCTGCAAAGATGCCTTAATGGCCTGTAAACAAAATCACTTTGGTTTTTTACAATAATTGTTTACCGAGGCCAAAAATATCTTTTTTGAGTCACACAAATTCTTCACATCAGAAGGCCGCATGGGTGCTCCAGTCTTGTAATGCCGAGCGAACGTAGATATCACCTAAAATAGGCAGACAAAATATACATCACAAGCTTAAGAAACCAAAAAAGAAAACAAAAAACAGCTGAAAGAAGATAAATGATCAACAAACAAAACACTCCAAAAACAAAAATAAAGATTAATACAAAATACACAAATGCACCATAATATATATATATTATATATTAGAGATGACAATCTCTATGGTAAACAAAGCCAAAACGAAACTTGCGCAGCGTGGTTGCGCAGAGCATCAGTGGACCCGTGAAAAATGTTTTGTTTCCTAACCAATTACAAATTAATTTTTTAGTTTGCAATCTAGCTGTTCAGAAGTGAATACATGCGCTCTTTGTCATTCAAAAGAGGTCACTCTACCGAACGGCACCGAACTTACATACAGCGATCTTAGTTCGGCGAAATTAATTTCACTGTTTGACATACGGTAAGTAAACATCTTATATCTCCCGTTTTAGTTTAAAAGACCTGCACTAAAATGCGATTTTTGGATTCTGTGTCCACTGTTACATAAAGCTGGAAAGTTTTGCTGGAATCAGTACAGGACTAACTTAGAAGTTTGAATTTGTTTCCAATCATGTCTTGAGAATTAAATAGGAAATTTTTCAAAATGGCTGCCACATGGCATGCGAGACACTTTATTTCAGATTGATTAATCTGATAATTTAGGAATATCAGGTTAAAATTAACGCAAGTTTTAATTCTAATAATCAAATATCTTCATAACGTTTATTAGTTTTAATTATCCCAAATAGCTAAAAATATTGTTTTATCAAGTTTCTGACATGAACTCTTTTTAAGAGAATTTTGTGCTGAAGTTGGATATTGCATTATTAATCATTTAAAAAAATTTACTCAAATAAAGACCTACTGTTTTTAATATTTTTGAAATCTTTAACCATTGTAACCTTTTTTATACCCTAACCTGTTATTGTGAATGAAGGACTTTTCCTGTTTGAGAACTTTTCACATGTTGACCCCCACACTCCGCTCCCAGATTGACATTTCAAAAATGTCTGCCATATATTTCTGCACTATGATTTTGTGGTACATTTTTATTGTCTTAGATAGTATAACAGTTACTATTTATGACTGATACTATCCATATTAGTATTAAAATTGTAGTATTGACTTACTTAGATATGCTTATTGATTAATAAAATTAATAATAATATAATTTGTTTAACTGTGCATAAGTTTACTTACTTACAGCTAGGGCTACTTACAACTTATGATTAATAATATTTAATCATTACTTTCTATATATACTATTATATACTAGCCAGCAAACAGATTACATGGGACATAAATACGTTAATAAAATATAATGTTATTTTTCCTCTTACCTTTTGAAATGCTGCTCCATGAAAACACAACTTAAATCTAAAGCGAATCACAAAGGAGCTTATTTAATAATTTTACTCCATGAAAACATAGCACTGAATCACAAATCGGGCCTGAGCGGTTACCTTAGATTATTTTGAACAAGTAAATAAAATATCAAGCAGTGACTAGTTGAGAAGAAGAGGGGAACAATGTGGTGAAATGTCCTCAACATCAATAAAATGAAAGAGAAACTCGCAAAGACTGAAAAAAAGGATTATGTTAAATTAGTATGAGGGGCGCTCATTTTCACTTGGTTATAAAACAATATGGGGGTCTCCGTAGCAAAGTGGTCAAGCCATTAACCTCGCGCTCGGAAGGTTGCAGTACGTTCATTTACAACTGCGTTGTTCAACTAAAAAATGCATTTTTTTGGTTAGCGGAGATCTCTGAGGGCTGTTGCTGGAGCTACGGTATTTAGGCTTTGTGCTAAGCTCTTAGCATGCACTAGCCGTTCAGTTATGTGGAGAAAGACCAAGCCATACTAAACCAGTAACGATGCAATGAAGTCGATCCACTTGCTATTGAACATTTTTTAAACAGTGGAATAAAGCAAAATTTCGGTCAGATGTATGCACACACACACACACACACACACAAGTGAGAGTGTGAGAAAAAGGCATTTTTCAACAAATAGAAAGAGATGCATCATAACAGGAAGAATAGTTACAAAAGTATTTATATTACAGTATACGTCTTGGGAGACTCATTGGATAATTATAAACATTAATTCATAAGGTATTTAATTAATACTTAATACTGATAAATTGACTCATTTTGATGTTATTTAGGTTTGCATCACATCATATTTTTAAAAAGGCAACAACTTTAGTTACAGCTTGCTGCCCTGAAAGCAATGACATATGGTTGCTAAGGGGTTCAGCAAAAAACGTAAGAGTTATTGACATTAAACATGATAAATTTAGGTCCAGTTTTCACTTGGGAACATGCCGCCATCTTGTTTCTGTGTTTTCCATTATTATTTTTTGTTAATCAAGTAACAGAAAGTATTGTGAACGGCACTCATAGAAAGATCTTAAAAGATCTCTGTTTATTAATTTTTTGTTAGTACTTTCCGTCACTTAAATGTGAATATCTCCGCTTAGAATTGACATACAGACTTCATTGAGGTACCGTTGGACTCTGGTTTTCAACCTCTATTCAGCTGTCTTGGTTTAAAAGTAAAAAACCCAATATATAAATTTTGTCTAAAATCCCTATATATATATATATATATATATATATATATATATATATATATATATATATATATATATATATATATATATATATATATATATATATATATATATATATATATATATATATGCATACATATGCAAATCATGAAGGTAATGCATGACACAAAAACCATCATTATCAAGTGTCTTGCTGGCTAGCACAGACTGAGCATGCCTCTCCACAACCTGCGATCTCCAACAACATGTATTCATGTGCTGACAATCCTCCATGCCATGACAAAAGACTGACAAGAATCTTCTACTGTTGTATTCCTCTGTCTCTTTTTTTCCCCCACAGATCTTTCCAGTGGTCACAACATTTTGTTTCTTCTTCTCAGAACATGACCACAAAATGATGACTGTTTCTTCCTTTTGTTTGTGATAAGTTGTTTTCGAGTCCTTGCCTCTCTCACATTTTATTTGCTCTAGTTAACTGTCCAAGGAACTGTAAGGATTCTTCTGTAAAACCACATTTGTGAGGCCTAAAAAATTGGACTGTTTTTAATTGTCAAGAATTCCCAGAGAGCTATTCGCAGCAGACGCGAATTCTCTTTTCTAGCCTCCGGTGACATGGATTTATTACATAAGATCTTCATCTTATAACATGCATTTTTGTGTGTGTGTGCCTTGTCCTGTTTACTATTTACTGTCACCATGAAGCATCTTCCATCTGATGTGTTCATGTACCTAGATACTTACATTTATTTACTTGAGCTAATAATATAAAACACCACACTGACTTTTATTATACATTTAGGAACAATTCTTCTCATTAATGAACATTACCATTAGTTCAGTCGCCATTATTCACGCTAAAGTCCCTGAAACCTAACAAAAACTTGACAAGAAATAAATTACAGACATAAACATCTGCTAAATGATAATCTCTAAACTACACAAAAACTGACTCACTCTCGGGTCTGCAGCAAAGAATTCCATGAGTACAGATGGAACTTCTGCAAAGTCTGTGGAACATCTAGTTCCTAGGTTGAAATAATTAAAAATAAAAAAGTAATGTACGCATTAACAAGATCTTTACTGTGGAAAGCGTGTTGTGACTGGAAATACTGACTACAGAAAGATCTGACAATCGTTTCAACCTTCTCTTTTTATTTATCTGTGTGTGTGTGTGCGTGCACACATGCGAGCATGCATGTGTGTGAGAGACAAAGAAGAAGAGAGACTGACAGAGAGATAAAGCCAGAGTGAGAGACTGAAAGACAGAAGAAGGGTGAGTGAGAAAGAAAGTGAAAGACAGAAGTTGAAAAAAAAAGTGGAATGATATATCAGACATTCAGTCAGTCAGCCAGTAGCACGTCCTTTGCAAAACCTTGCTGCCATAACAGCCCTCTGGAAAATTCTCGATCACAAGCAAGATGTCCCACGTCCAATACACCCATCTGAAGATCATCCGCCACATCCTGCACCACCTTCTCTTTGGCCTTCCTCTTACTCTTTTCCCAGGCATATATCCCTCCATTACTGTTTTTTCTTAACCTTTGTTATGTTTCAAGTGACCAAAACATTTCAATTTTCTGTGTTTTATTGTCTTTAATAGCCAACCTTCTTCAATATTCAGTTCTTGAAGTATGAATGCATTTGTTCTTTTCTTTACCCATGATATTCTCAGAACCGGTCTATAACATTTGTATCCAAAGTCATTTATGCATATTACATCAGAGATTACAACACAATAATACAGAACAAGTCAACAGAATATTTTCTAGCAACAATATTTTTAGAAGTGAAAGGTCATTTAAACCATCATTAAACCAAGAGCAGTCAACTCTGTCAACACTGCTGTATAACCATAATGACAAAAGCAGTGACTAATAAATTAGATGTATTAACAATTTACAAGGCAAATCAAATATCAACATCATATCATCTACAGAAATGCGGCTGGTCGAGTGGTTACAGCACTGACTCTCATGCAAGAAAACCCAAGTTTGATCCTCGGTAAGGGAAGCAGATTTTGTAAATGGACGGAGAACTGGTTCTAGCAGGGGCAACAATGAAAATCCTAACCTGCACAGTTCTTGGCAACTGCACTAGACATGCAGCCGTAAATCCAATGTGGATAATTATCGGCCATGTGGATAACCAATGGCCATGTGGACAACCATCAGCCATGTGGATAAACCATCAGCCATGTGGATAACCACCAGCCATGTGGATAACCACCAGCCATGAGGATAAACATCAGCCATGTAAATAACCATCAGCCATGTGAATAACCATCAGCCATGTTGATAAACATCAGCCATGTGGATAAACATCAGCCATGTGGATAACCATCAGCCATGTGGATAACCATCAGCAATGTGAACAACCATTGGCCATGTGGACAACCTTCAGCAAATGTGGATAATCATCAGAAAATGTGGATAATCATTAGCCATAGAGTAAACATCTGTAAATGTTGACAATCATCAGGTATGAGAATAATCGTCAGGTATGTGGATAATCATCAGGTATGAGGACAATCATCAGGTATGTGAATAATCGTCAGGTATGTGGATAATCGTCAGGTATGTGAATAATCGTCAGGTATGTGAATAATCGTCAGGTATGTGAATAATCGTCAGGTATGTGAATAATCGTCAGGTATGTTGACAATCGTCAGGTATGTGGATAATCGTCAGGTATGTGAATAATCGTCAGGTATGTGAATAATCGTCAGGTATGTGGATAATCGTCAGGTATGTTGACAATCGTCAGGTATGTGGATAATCGTCAGGTATGTGAATAATTGTCAGGTATGTGAATAATCGTCAGGTATGTGGATAATCGTCAGGTATGTGAATAATCGTCAGGTATGTTGACAATCGTCAGGTATGTGGATAATCGTCAGGTATGTGAATAATCGTCAGGTATGTGAATAATCGTCAGGTATGTGAATAATCGTCAGGTATGTTGACAATCGTCAGGTATGTGGATAATCGTCAGGTATGTGAATAATCGTCAGGTATGTGAATAATCGTCAGGTATGTGGATAATCGTCAGGTATGTGAATAATCGTCAGGTATGTGGACAATCGTCAGGTATGTGAATAATCGTCAGGTATGTGGACAATTGTCAGGTATGTTGATAATCGTCAGGTATGTGAATAATCATCAGGTATGTGAATAATCATCAGGTATGTGAATAATCATCAGGTATGTGGATAATCGTCAGGTATGTGGACAATTGTCAGGTATGTGGACAATTGTCAGGTATGTGGATAATCGTCAGGTATGTTGATAATCATCAGGTATGTGAATAATCATCAGGTATGTGAATAATCATCAGGTATGTGAATAATCGTCAGGTATGTGGACAATTGTCAGGTATGTTGATAATCGTCAGGTATGTGAATAATCATAAGGTATGTGAATAATCATCAGGTATGTGAATAATCATCAGGTATGTGAATAATCATCAGGTATGTGAATAATCATCAGGTATGTGAATAATCGTCAGGTATGTGAATAATCGTCAGGTATGTGGATAATCCACGAAGATGGGCACAGGATATAAGTGACTCCTTGAGTGTGAAAGTGCAAGAGGTGGGAGAACTGGCGAGAGACCGAGTTTCTTTCAGGCAGACTGTGATGAGAGCGACATTCTGCAAAGGACCTGCTACATGATGATGATGATGTGGATAATCATCAGGTATGTGGATAGACAACAGTCATATGGATAACCATCAGCATGCAGATGTCAGGCTTTCAGACAGTGGTATGAGAGTCACACTGTGGAAGAGACAGGGGTCTCACTAAAAAGTATCACATTCAAAGCAGCCAAACTTTATTGCAGAGATGACCCTTTGAAGAACAAAAACAAAAGAGATAGTCTATGAACACTTTCGAACACACACCTGTGACATGCTGATATCTAGTCCTGCCGAGCATTGAGTGCATCGCATGACCAAACTCATGGAACAGGTTGTCAACGTTGCCGGGACTGAGAAGAGTGGGAACACTGGACCCTCGAGGGGCAGGCAGGGACAGCTGCAGCACCACCACAGAATGCTGGTAGCTTCCGTTGTCTAGCTGACGACCTCCTTGAATGGTGAAGTGGCAATCCTGGATAAGAGAGAATATAGAAGAAAAAAAGGATGAGAAAGTCTAACAATCTGTAAATTCCCAGATGTGCATGTGCAGCAGTGTGGCTTTGAGGTCAGTGAAAAAGATTTCATTCTGATTCTGATATTCAGGGGAAGGGGAAGGGGTGGGGGGGGGGGGGGGGGGGGGGAGGCAGAAAGTCCAGCATGTTCCACCAGCTGTGAACAGTGCTGGTTACATCTGTAGTCTGATTTATTTGTTCTAAGTTTACTGACTGAGATACATGCACGCAGCCCTCCCCCCTTTTCCCCAGTAGAAAACAAATATATTCTCTTCTCTCCATCTGAGACAGACAGACAATAAGATGGACAGACAGACAGAGAGAGAGAGAGAGAGAGAGAGAGAGAGAGAGAGAGAGAGAGAGAGAGAGAGAGAGAGAGAGAGAGAGAGAGAGAGAGAGAGAGAGAGAGAGAAATGCATAAATGTTAGTCAGCTGCATGTCCTTTACAGAACACTGCAGAACCAACTCCAACATTTTTATGCTGCAGTGGTCTTCTAGTCAAATTTAATATCGGGCATCTATGTGAGCAGATACCAACTCCACCATTTTTACGCTGCAATGGTTTTCTAGTCAAATTTACCATCTGGCATCTATGTGAGCAGATAAATATTAAACTTTACAAATAGTACTGTGGGCATGAACTGACCTGATTTGGCTTCCCGTATCTCTCAAAGAAATCACAGTAAATGTAGCCCAGCACGCCTTGTGTGCTGTGTACAACAGCCTGAAACAATGACAGCACACCATGGAAAAACAGAATATATTCAAGGATGGATTCCTCACACACGTAACATTCAACTGTACAATTACAATGTCTTTGTAATAGAGCCCACAGGTGTAAAGAAAAAAAGGCAGAATCAAAATAACATAGAGGAGAGTGCAGTTAAAAAGTCAGGGAGGATATGAAGTGTGCTGAAGTTAAAGACAGGGTGGACATGGGGTGAACTGCATACAAAAGCAAAGGATAGGACGACTCGGCATGAGCTGGTTGAGGGCCTATGCTGCAAATAATGCAAGATGAAGTGCAGGAGAAGAAGAATGTAATATTCTGTTTTATCTGGTCACAAGGAATCCACTATATATGTGAATAAAATGGGGTACGTATGGATCACGTGAACTAGTAACACTTGAGTTGACGGAAAAAAGTTTAAGCTGTGAGCAAGCTGAGGTCAGTCATCAACCAAATGTCCCAGTGGACGGTCTAGACAACCAGAATGTGGTGACCCCGCACAGGGGTATCCTCTTCTGCGTTCATCCGAAGATGTAACTGCTTTGTGCATGTTTACAGCATCGCTGAAGTATTTGCGCCTTTTGGCCAATACATCTAACTTCTGCAGGCACTTGTTGACCCAATTAGCCTTCCCGGTCCACACAGGGTATAGCAGTAGTAGCGATAGAGCAATATTTCTAGTAGTAATGGAGTTATTTTTACATCCATATTGATTGTGATAACTCTAAGGTAAGTAGATCAAGTGATAAGTCCCTGTGTGCGTCCCGGGGCCCCATTCTGGAAGAAAAGACTGCCTCCCTAATAAGCTTGCCGTAGAAGGTGATTAATTAGAGGTTTTTCCTTCAAAGTGAGAGACAAACTCACCAACTTAACTCAACTAAAAATGTCTTTAATCTGTACATAATTTAGGGACAAAAAAATTACCCACTGTGGAAGGGACCTGGAGAATCCGAACTACCCACTTGACAGGTTAAATAAGAAACTTCACATACAATACTTGATATCCACATGCATATACAAAAAAAGTCGAGGACCCTTTTCCACACCTTCTGGGATATTGTGCTAGTCCTATATTTTATAAACCAATCAGCACTCAGTGGGTGATGTGGTTAACATCATGCCAGTTGCCTTTACTTCCCAGGACTTTACCTGGTACCCATTTGAGGCTGGGTTCACTTGGGAGCCAAGGTCATTTTTGAAGGAAAACAAAAAGTCCGGTTCTGTTCGGATTTAAATCTACATCCTTCCAATCCACAGGTGATCGTCTAACCCAGCAGTTCTCAATCTGTAGATTGTGACCCCTTTGGGGGTCAAACGACCCTTTCTTAGGGATCGCCTAAGAAGATCAGACAACATATTTTCATTGCAGTTATAAAGTAGCAATAAAAATTATTTTATGATTGGGGGTCACCACAACATGAGGAACTGTATTAAAGGGTCACGACATTAGGAAGTCTGAGAACCAGGGGTCTAACCACTACACCATGGCGACTCCCCTACATGTACGTACCAGTTTATATATGTCATCATGCCAAGCCTCCCCTGGCTCCATCTCTACGTGCTGTAATGACACAGCAAAGAGACATTGGAAGAGCTGGTTCAAGCCCTCCATCACACAGCCCAGAGAGAAGTAGGGCAGGCAGTCCACGTTAGACATGGTGCTCCTGTCAAATAAATGGAGAAAAGCTGTAACGATGACCACTACAGAGGACATGAATATTTGTACAATCAGACAGTTACTGGTACCATCGGAATTGGAACTCTTTCACTTGCTGCTGAAGATGAGGATGGAGCGCTTATGGGAGTGTCCAGAGTGCTATAATGTTGATCCATTCTTAATTCAACAGTACAGAAATATTTTAATGTAGGACAAGGGACACCAGCTGTGAACACTGACATGCTAAATTCCTTTTGTTGAGATTCCCTTCTTCATTTCATGTTCGGTGGCTGTAAATTCCAGTGAAAAGTTCTGGTTGTTCATCCACTTCTGGACTTGTACCAGAACTTGAGTTTTGCATGTACATTCCTTTTACAGATCTGACTTATCTCTATACAGGCTGTTGGTTCCTTGCCTCTCAGGCAGATGCACTCCGACTTGGAAGGAAACTTCTTGAATTAGTCACCTTTTATGACATGCTTGTTCCCCACGTGGGTCCTGGGGCCCCGTTGTGGGAATAACAAAAACAGACCAAGTGTTTCCCCAAAAAGCATGTCGTAGTAGTCGGTCAAATTGGGAGTTCCCTTCAAAGTCGGAGTGCATCTGCCCGAGCAGCAAGAAACAACCAACTGCACACAAATAAGCCAGTAAAATGGATGAAGATGCAAAACTCAGGCCCTGGCACAAAGCAAAAAGTCCAGATGGAAAAACAACCAGGACTTTCCACCACAGCTTACAGCCGGGGAACAAAGAAGAAGAAGACATGTTTGTTGAGGTGAGCAGTGAGTCTATTCTCTTTCTTTCTCCACAGTGGAGCTCCAGAACCCACACAGAGATATTTCTGAGATGAACATTTGGCTTGACATCTCTTCCCCCAACCGCAAACACACAGACAACTCTTCGCACCGACCCCCCCCCCCCCCCCCCCCCCCCCCCCCCAATCGAAACCTACCCCAGAACGATCCACCGAACCACAGGCACACCAACACTTTTTTTCCACACACCCTTCTTATAACCATCCATACATCTACACACTCAAATTAAAGATTAAACTTGTATTTACAACCAAATGCTCAACTCCTTCTGACATTCAATGTATGGCAAGTAAAAGACCTTTTTTCAAACAAGTGACACATAAGGCATATGGTGTTACTCACATTTTTAATAGACCAGTCAGCATTCGACCAGGTCAACATCATTTGGCCACCTTTATTTTCAAAAACATTTCCCTGGTACCCATTTTATCCAGTAGCCGAGGTTAATTATTAAAAAAAAATGCTTTTAATCTCTGTCACACTCGACCATATGTTATCCATGCTCATTTCATTCATTACTTTTTAATGGACAGTACAGAGACATCCAGCTAATATGGAGAAGAAACAAACAAACAAAACAAACAACAACAACAATGAACTGCTCAAAGTATAGAACATATAAGTATGACTGTAATGTAAATAGAAGGAGAAAAAATGTTGCTGTTGTATTACTTTTTCTGTCGACCAAGGCCTGACAGGAATGGAGGATCCCATGGCATGATGTCCTAGAGAATGGAAACCATAATTCTGACATTAAAAGAACACATTTATACAGCCATGTGTAAAGTTTTATACCCATGGCAAAACATTCACAAATTTTGTTAAGACATACAAATTTAAACAAAGCTGACATAAACAGTATATTGCATAAGTATTGCCTTGCATCTTTCTCTGTATCTTGTCAGGTGCATTGCTACACAGTTATACCAACATAAAATGCAGCATTAAAAATGCATCTTTTTATAGCGAAATATACAAATCACAAAGTTACACTACATCTCACCACGAGAAATTTAAGATTAGCCATGTGATTACCCTGGAAGTTTCAAATTTACCATATGCTCTTTCTGTCTGCACAATGTGGGTTAGTTCACTTTAACTGTCAGTTAAAGCATATTCAGAGTGTGGTTAAAAAAAAAAATCTCTATCAACTGTGAGTTACAATAAAGCAAATAAATTAAGTTATTAATAAGTTTTTTTCTAGCTCAAAATATAAGGTAACTTTGAGTTTGTATCTTCTTTTTTATAATAGATACAGCATTGTATTGGTCCACAGGCTCCTGTCTCATGTATAGCCAATCATTTCTGTTTTTCCATATCCAGAATCTGAACTGTTCAGTATCATCTCTCCTAGTCTCCTATACATTTCTGTTGCTAGATATACTCCAATTCTCACAATATTCTTGAAAATGTGGATTGTCTACTAATGCGATGGCAAAGGATATGACCACCTGGTGCCAATTGGTTGAAGGTCTATTTTCCTGGGAGATCAAGGGGAAAATGAACAAGAAAAGGTTGTAGGCAGACAGAATAAGAAAAGATTATATATAACGGATCAACAAGCGGTACTGTACTGAACATACAATGCATTAAATGACTGCCCTGTGCCCACAGCTAAAACACTGAATCTGGACAACACAGTGATCAATACTGAAAGCAGCAATAGTGTATGCTCCAAGCAATGTGGTCTATAATACTCTGAGGAAAGGCAAGACGGACATACCATCAGACTGCTGCTGCTAACATCGGAAGTGGAACTCTGGAACCAACAGACTGGCCATGTCTGCAATGGTTAGTGCAGGAAGAATTAAGTCAGGGTGGACATACTGAATGCACTACATTCAAGAGATGTTGAGACAAAAGAGTCAGAAACAAATGAACAGTCTGTTCAAGATGGGTTATTAGAAAAGCATGTAAAAACTGGAAGTTGGGCAAAGAAAAAAGATATGCCAATCAACTCCAACTAGAGACGGTGAGCATGGAGACACAGAAAGCTGCTGCATCAGAAGAAGAAGAAGGAATAGGTCAGAACGATGTGCTGGGATTTTGATGCAGATAACAACTAACAATGGCTAATGTGCTGGGATATCTATACAGATAACACGTAATTGGAACTCTGGAGTTTCATCTTTTCTCCTTCTGCATCCACCCTTGTAAGACAGCTGACATCCTGTGCTGTGGTCTAAAGCTAGGCTGCTATATCTGTGACTTTCAGTCCAACACATACAATTTCAGCTAATCTCTTTGAGCTACCTTTGAGAACATGCAAGGGGCAGTGTGTCTTTTCTTTCCCCACTCCCACCCCCTCCAAAAATGAGACTCCGGAACCTAAATGGGGTGCAAATGGGATTGAATATTTCCATTCACTAACAAAACAATGTTACCTTTGCTTGTGGCTCCTGCTGCTGTTTCAGTAAAAGCATATCATCGTAGTCCATCTGGGCCCTGAAAGATATAGTCAGCTTTAAGTGTACATCTAATTTTACTTGTTTTTACTTCTAGTGTGTGCATGCACTCTATCAACCATGTTTTTGTTTTTTCTCTTGATATTCATAATACACATTTTATTATATGAATATAACATAATTTATTGATAAAATACAACTGCTGTGTGAAAGAGGGTGTTTGGAAGGGTCGAATGTAAGATGGGCCTGACCCTTTGAAAATAATGTTTGTTCTTTGTAAATGTTAGGGAGATCTCTGGGGATCATCACTGTAGCTAGGGAGTTCATGTTTTGTGAAGAGAAAGGCCCAGACGTGGGACAAAACTGCTGTAATGAAGGCAATCCTCACAACTGTTCCCTTTTTGAGAGGAATGTGTATTACCTACTTAGAATGTCTCATTTCAACATATATCTCATTATCAAGTGCCTTGCCAGCCTGCTTAGGAGTTCATGCATCTCCACAGATCATGATCTTTGGTGCTCTGGATCAATTCCACTGATGATATTCCTCCATTCCACTGCCTTAAGTCATCCACAATTACCTCTGTCTGCCTCTGCCTCTTCTATTAGTGATCTTCCCAGTCGTCACGATATTCTCCAAAGCTCCTATTCTCATCACATGACCAAAGAACTTTGTCTCCTTCTCATTGTTGTATATAATAATGTTCTACTTTCATTAGCCATTTCCAGGCAATCTTTGTTAGTTATTCTTGTAGTCCAAGGTATTCGCAACAATCTTCTCAAGAATCACATATCAGCTGCCTTCAAGCTCTTCTTACTTTGTTTCGCTCACATTCCAAGATTCACTGCCACATAACAGAATATGCTTGATATAACATTTCAGTACTTTTTTTTCTGGTGATTTATTACATAAGATACTTTTCATCTTCTGAAAAGCTGCCTTTGCCTGGCCAATTCAGCTCTTGATTTCTGTCACATATCGTCCATTTGATGTTATGAACTTCCCCAAATGCTTGAATTTATTGACTTGGTTAAGCACTTTCCCTTCTATGCCTATAATATATATTTGGGAGTTATCTTCTTCTTTGATACAACCATTGTTTCTGTTTTCTTGACTTCCTAGGAAAGTTCCTTTCTTGCACTCTATAGTACCACGATGTCTAACAGTTGTAGGTCTTCCAATTAGTTCTGTACAAATTCTTTGCCTTAACCTAAGAGTAAACCTTGTCCATTTTTAGCCTGGGGTGGACACACAACCCTTGCAGCCACACCTTCCCCCAGGTAAACGTCTTATTTTATGTGAGAACAGCGGCTGACAAAATCCTTTCCTCCTTTCAAACAGTGAAATGGTCTCTCTCTAAAAAGATGCAAACTCTCAACAGTAAAACTTAAGTTTGTTTCCTAGCACTGTGACACAGTCTTTTAATACTATCCAACTACTGCTTGAGGTCCTTTTATGTTGTTGAATCTGTGACTGGCGTTGCGAATGTGCTTCATAATGCCGGTGTGCCAGGTTCGATCCCAGCTGCAGACGATCTGTCTTGCGTCGGTTTTGACAGTGGTACCGAGAAATGACTGTTCAGAAAGCAATGGCAAACTACTAAACACAAATGTCAGCACAAATCAGAAACACTCACCTTGGCTTCAACTCTTTAGATAACAGATCCAAAAAGGCAACAATATTTTCTGTAAAACACAAACATTAATTTATGGATGAGAAGTACCTGCTTATTAAAGTAAAGTAAAAATATAACAAACCAAAAGAAAAGTAGAACTAGACAGCTTCACATTATCACAATCACAAATGACAAGTAGACGATGTGGCCATAAAGTATTCATCAGCACACACAACATGAATAGTCAGTGTTACAATTACAAACAAGAATACACAAAAACACTTAACTGAGGTATCTCTAAGAAAAATCCATGTCTTTCTGGCCAGTTAAAGCTCTAACACATGTGTGAATACAGGAAGTAATGAAAGTACAAAATCAGAACCCAGAAACATAAAGTGCTAACATTTCATTTAAAATTCAACAAGAATACCAACTTAATCACTGGCCTATCTATGTGTATGGTCATGTACTAGGTTAGCAATACACAAACTAATGCTGAAGGGAGCACTAATGTGATGCTTTACAGGTTAAAACACTTTCAGTACCAGAAGGTTTCACAAGAGATGCCAAAGTGAAAAAATAACTATGATGAAAAAGCATGAATACGTTACTTTCCAAGTGGCAATTGATACAGTGGTAACTATACTGCAGAAGAGAGATTTGTGTAGTTTGTTCTGACTAAATGTTAAACTGAAGAGATCACATTATGCTATGGTTAGAAATCAAGGCATGGTGTTACTCACATACTGTGCGTTGCCTGGGACTGAAAATGTTAATGAATGTCTGACTTGCCAGACAGATATGTGATTGTTCTCTTTTCATGGAAAAGCTAATGACAGTTCTTGACAAATCAGTCAAACTGGGAATCCAGGCTGTGGATAGGTGGCACACCAGGCAGAGATGTTCCAAGGTCAGTCAGTTCTGACCTTGTAATTGTGATCTCTTGGGCCCAATATATTTCCACACTTCTTCATGTTTTTCAAGCGCAAGTCCGTGGCTTACTGAATGCATGTAACAATTCAATGACTCTCAAGTACTAAAGTTCAATTTTCCGCAGAAAAGGTTTCATTTAAATAACCTTTGTTGTGGTTTACAGACAGTGATACAAGACACAAACAAAAGACTGGACAATTTATTGCCTGGCACATTTCGCGGTATCTCATCAGGTGCATACTACAGTAACAGTTGATTAAAATGAAGCAAATAAATGACAGCAATAAATTGGTTTAGTCCAGAATTATGCAAACAAAAGGAAATACTCTTCGCCTTACATTTACCCTGGTGAAAAAGGTAAAATTTTGTTTGTTTTGAATGATTTTGATTTTGTGTTTTAGTTTGAAGGATTCATTTATTTGCTTCATTTTAATCAACTGTTACTGTAGTATGCATTCGTCAAGATACAGCGAAAAATGCCAGGCAATAAATTATGCAATTAATTGTTTTTGTCTTCTTTGTTCAATTTCACAACGGTAAAACACTGCATTGAAACAAGAGTTGCACTGTAGAGAAGACTGGGGTCTCAGAACATTATTTTCCAAAGACGACAGTGGGTGATACACTTGCCGGCAACCTTCACTGTGGAGAAGGTACATAATTTCTTTTTAATGTTTTCTAAACTGCAAAAGATGTATGAGGATACTGTATGCCTCGTCTTTTTCTCCTCTTATCTTCTAATGGAGCATAATCCCTCAACAAGTTCATACCAAGCCTTCTGCCTACTTGTTCTTCTTCTTTTTCTTCTTAGCGTTAACCAATTGTAAACTTCAGCCAAAAGTTATGGTTGTTCGTCTACTTCTGGACTATTTTCTTGTTCCAGAACTTAAATTTTGCATGCACACCCATTTTTACAGATTTGGCTTATTTATATGCAGACTTTTGGTTACGTATCTCTCAGGTAAATGCACTCCGACTGCAAAGAAAACACCCCTAATTAGTCATCTTTTACCACAGGCTTTTCAGGGAGAGAAAATCTATTCTTTGTCCCACAAAACAGGGTCCTGGAACCAATAGGGGGATTTTTTTATGCTCAGCATTTTCAGGTGCCAAGTTGCAGGGACATATCTCTGTGTTTCCGATACTGAAAAATCTCAATACATGTTGGCTAAGTCTATTGTGCCGTGTCCTTAGTCTGAAAACGATACAATGATCATCTCGGGAGATGAAGCAGGTTTAGGGGGGGAGGGGGTCTCTTTGGTGTGGATATTCAGCCACCTTTCTTGGATACTAGTTTAAAAAAAAAATTTTTATCAATGTCGTAGTCTCCTGGTGGGTTAAGTCATAAAATTATTGCACCGTGTCCCTGCACTATTTCACTGCCTCTGAGCCACAGTGACCTGGAATCTACTGAAGGACAGATTCTACTGAAGACCTTTATGTGAATCAGCTGTTGCACCAAGTCTGCAAACTGCATGTATTTTTGGTTACCTGTCCAACTGACTTAGCATCAGTCAGAAAGACCACTCTGGTATATTTGCTGAGCTGTTAAAAGAACATGCCACAGGAAGCATATCTGCCTCCGCTGTGAAGTAGGAAGAATATGAAACTGTTGGTATAGACTGCTCAACCATTTGAGCATTCTATGTATATTTTTCCTCCTCCAGTCATAAGATTATGACATAACAACATACCTGGTGATTCAATGATGGTCCCTCGATTGGCCCTGTGGGAGTAGGTATCAAATCCAACCAGCTGGGCCAGCTTGAACCTTGCTGTGAGAAGAGCCTCCAGTATCTCAGCCTGGTGAGGGTCAGGAGACAGGAAGATTCTGTAAGCAGCTTCCCGCACCTAGAAACATTGTACACGTCAACACTTCTGCTGAAATTTCCACTCGTTCAACACTTCTGGTGCAATTTCCACTCGTTCAGTAAACTGTTTTTTCCCCCAAGTACTTAGTACCTGGCCTCAAGAGCAAAGTGTGCAGTGCAAGATTAAGGAAACCATTAGGAACCTGCAATTGACATGCAAATTCATACAGGCAGCCCACCTGTCAGTCTGACCTGAGTATATGAAACTGAACGCAAAGAAAAAGAAAACAAAACTGGGGCATTCTCCAGTGGACAAAGAACCAGAACAGCCAGTGAACACAAAGAAAAAAAAAGAAACTAGAGCATTGATAACTTCTTCCTTTATGTTGTGTACCCTGTGTTCACGGACACCTCCTTGTTGTTTCTCTACCTTGTAGTGTAAAGGGATTTGCATTTCCCCAAAAGGTAAGCTGAGTCAAGAACTGACATCACAGTACTCAGGACATTCCCATATGCACCTAATCCTGATCTTTAGCAGCCAGCAAAGAGTTCAAATCCCAATGATACCAGTAACAGTTTGATTATGTTTCCATAATAAAGGTTGGCAGCAATGGATCTCCATTGTCTGTCTCTTGTTTACACTTTCACAAACTGATTTGGGTTTTTTTTTTTTTTAAATTTATTCACCCACTTGTATTGTTGTCTATCTCTTACTCACTTACCTTAAACTTATGGCTTTAGAATGGTTTCCGAAATGTATTATTTTTTATGTAGCTGAAATATTTCACTTGTCCCCTCTTTTAATTTGTTTCAATTATTATGCTTTAATTCCCTGTTTCTCCTAAACTTATTATTTTTTAAAGTGATTTTGCCCCCATTAAATGTGCAAACTCTTCTGTATACGCACATCTTCAGAGCATTAATTAATTAAACTTTCTAATTCCATCTTCACCGTCAAGACTTCTGTACCATACAAACAAATGGCCAATATTAAATGTCCTAAAAAAGTCTCTGAAAAATAACAAATAAAATGGTTTAAAAAATGTACCGCACAGACAATGAAAACTAATTCCCCTTCCCCCAGATGAATGTGTAAAATGGGAGACGATGGGCCAATGTTTTGTTAGGTTGCTTGAGAAGACTCAGCATGCGCATATTCAATGAATACGCTCAAGAAAATCCAGGCTGGCTTTATCAGAAAAGAACAGATTCTCTCATTAAATGCATCACAAATAACTTGCCTCTCTGTGCCCAGCCACGATGGTGTATAAGGCAAATGAGCATGCAGATTAACTGGCGGACAAGGCACTTGACAGGAGTAAGGTCATTAATGTCATTTGAGATGCATATCGCAAAGAAGATCAGGAAAACAAGCAGGACTTAGTATCCTTGTCCAGGCTGGTGGACAAGGGATCTAACCTGGAGCAGCTAGGCATGAACATTTCACCGAGGGCACAAGACATCTGATTAATGAACACAGAACAGGTGTGATCAGTTGTTTAACTCTTGTAGAGCTACTGAAGAAGAGATCAGAGCACCTATGGATCTGTCCTGAGTGCTGTGATGACAGTCCTCATTAATGACTAATCAGAAGACTCCGCAATATTTGAGAATGTCATGTGGATATTTATATCATTCAAGTCACAAAATGACATACTAACCAAACTGCTGTAATGATCTGAGAAGAGGCCAGTAACTGTGATGTTGTCACCCTCAGCACCAAACCTGCAGAGAAATCACATGGCTAAAAAATTGTAAAATTTGCTGATGCAGTGATGGGAGTTGCAGTAGTGCATTGGCTAGTCATTTACCTACCAACATGAAGATCTAGGGTTCCAATTCACTTAGGGGGAGGGGGAGGGGAAAGTTTTATAACTGATTTTGGGCTCCCAGGTTGACCCAGCCTAAAATGAGCCCCTGGAAATAGCCAGGGAAGTGAAGGTTCTGACTAGATTATCCACCAAATGCTGTAGTCTGTGTGTATGTGTTTAGCACCATATGCTTCATGTACCAAAAGTGTGAAAAGGGCTCTTTGCTTGTTTTTGTTTAACTTTATTTTAATGAGGTAATTCCTGACAATTACAACCAGGCTTTCTCATGTGGGTTTTAAGGCCTCATTGTGGGGAAAACAATAATAGAACCTACTGCCTCCCTAACAAGCATGTCGTTGGAATCAACTGATTGGAGGGGGGAACCTCTGACCTCCCCCCCCCCCCCCCCCCTGACCCAAACATGCATGTCATAGGATGCAACTCATTAGGGGCATGTCCTTTAAAATCAGAGTGCAACTACCTGAGAGACAATGAATTAACAGTCTGCATACAAAAAAGTCAAATCTGTCAAACATTTATGCATGCAAAACTCTATTCTGAAACAAGACCAAAGTCCAGAAGCGGATAACACAATCAGAACTTTCTGCCAGAGTTTGCAGCCTGTAAATGCAAAGGAGAAGAAGAAGAAAACCCATGCCTATCAAATTCGAAGTCCTGTGTTGAATGTCCCTTGATTCCCAAATTTTTTTTTTTTAATGCTGGTACTAGGAAATTTTGTTTGAAGTTTAAGCAGGTAGGATGATACTGATCCATCAATCATCATGTGCAGTCTGGTTTACAAATTTGAATCCAGGACCGCATGCACTAACGGTGCCAAATGGATTCTTTACTCTTTCCACCCCCATTTATCTCTCTTCGTAAACAATTACATCTGCAAATTATGAACTTAATGCAAGAAACAGAAACCAGCATTATCATGTGCCTTGCTGACTGGCGTGGGCGCTCATGCCTCTCCACAACCTTTGATCTCCAACAGCATGTATCAGCTGATGTGCAGACACCCCTCCATACCATGACAGAAGGGTGTCAAGAATCTACTCGCATTGACTGCCTTTATCTCTTTATCTACAAATCTTTCCAGTGGTCACCACATGTCCCAGTTTTCTTCTTTTCATAACACAAACACAAAATTATGACTGTCTCTTTTTAATGTTTGTGTTAAAGTGACCCTCCATAATGCAGCATCAAAGTAAATGTGACAAACCTCAAGCAAGATGATGTGTTTAAGTACTTTGGTACCCTGATTACATCAGATGGAAGATGTATTAAGGAAGTTGAATGTCAAAATAGCTCAAGCAAAGGGAGCATTTTACAAAACGAAGAATATTTTATACAATCTTTCTTTGTCAATTGAGACGAGAAAGAGAATTCTTAAAAGTTATATTAATCCTGTAGTGATGTACGGATGTGAATCATGGACAGTTAGTAAATTAGTGAAAAAATTTTGGGAAGCTGCAGAGATGTGGTTTTATAGACGAATGATGAGAATACACTGAACAGATAAAAAGAGTAACGAAGACGTCTTGAAAGAAACTGAGCCACGAAGAGAGACTGATTGCCCATGTGATGAGAAGGAGTTGTTGTTGTTATCGATCCAGCAGCGCATGAGCTTTCGCCCTTTGGCCCAATGCCATGTAGTGGAATTTGCATGTTTTCACAAGCTGTTTTCCTCCGTACAAGGTGTTCCACTTGTCTGGTCTCGGAGGGAGTAGCGTTCTTCTTGTCTCACTGAGTTTTGGGCACTCAAAGAGATGGTGTTCAACAGTTTCGTAGGGGTAGTTACATAGCTGGCACTCTGGGGAGTGTTGTGGCTATATTCTGTTTAGGTGTCAATTGAGTGGAGTATGTTGCGTTCTAAGTCTGAAGATGGTGGCCTGGTCCCTTCTTGTTAGATGGTTAATGCTGTCATTAGGATCAGGGCCAGTCATATGTCTATAAATCTCTCTTTCAGTGTCTCCCATGGCCCATCTGTTCAACCAAGTCTCTTTGTTTATAGCTCTTATCAGTGTTTTTGCTGTCTGGAGGGTTGTCGCTGTAGGTGGTTGTTCTTGTGTTGCTCCTTTCTTTGCCAGTCTGTCAGCTCTGTCATTACCTGGTGTGCCGGAGTGACCTGGAATCCACTGCATCACTATTTTGATGTTGTGTGAGGTAATAAGCTGATCAGTATCCAGGATTATCTTGGCTATGTCAGTTCTGCAGCGTTCACTGCCCTCCAGAGCTTGAAGGACAGACATTGAATCTGTGAAGATGATAATATTTTGGACCTTTGAGGGGTAAACATCCATTACAGTCTTTAGGTGGTATACTGCTGTTTCCAGTGCAATTATTTCAGCTTCATAATTTGAACAGAATTCCCCGCATGCATCAAAAATCTCTTCAACAGATCCATCGGGATAACCTATGTAGATTCCGTAACCTGCTTTAATGGTAGCTTTAAATGCTGATCGATCAGTATAGACATGTATCCATTCTTGGGGGTAAGAATCAACGGTCTTTAGTGATGATGAGTTCATAAGAGCGATTGGGTCGGACTGTTTGGTTTCCTCGCCTACCAATTTAATTCGGACTTCTGGAGCTTTAAAGCGAGCATGTAGTGGTAAGTTTCTTGCAACATTCTGAATTCCTTGACGTCTTTCTGGGAGGTGGTATCTGTCCTGAATTTCATTAACACAGTGTAAAACCGATTTGTGCTTTATTCTTTGTTTGTATTCCCAGTTTTCTACAAGATGTCTATTAGGATGGTTACGATTTGTCCTAACGCATCTTTCATAAATTTCTAAAGTGGCTTTTTCTCTCCGCAACCCGAGGGGTTCCACATTTGTATGGATTTCACATGCAGCAGTTGGTGTAGACTGCATAGCTCCGCAGATTAATCGGAGGGCATTATTTTGTACTCTGTCAAGAGTCTCTAGGTTAGTTTTAGAGCAAGTTGTAAGCAGTGAGTTGTTGTACTCTATCACATAGCGAACATATCCTAGATATAAGCCCCTCAGAGTTTCCTTGTCTGATCCCCATGATGTACCTGCAAGTCTCTTTAATAACTGTAACCACCTCAATGCCTTATTCCTGACGTTTTCATTATGGTTCTTAAGGCTGAGCTGCCAGTCAAGTGTGACTCCAAGGTATGTGGGATGCTCTTCTTTCATCACTTGGTGTTTGTCTAACCTCAGGTTAATATTCTTCCTTGCTACCTGGTGGCTTTTGGTAAAGATTGTGTAGACCGTCTTTGCACAGTTAACCTTGAGTTTCCATCTTTGGCAGTACTCCTGCAGTCTTCTAAGGTCTCCATTCAGTCTTTGGGCTCCACTTTCCACATTTTCATGACTCTGCCATATTGCTAGTTCATCAGCGTACAAGGCTTTTTCGGCCTTGATTTGTTCTGGCAGGTCATTGATAAAGATTAGGAACAGTGTACAGCTCAATGATGAGCCTTGTGGCAAGCCCTCCTCCAAGACTTCTTTAGAAGAGATTGTGTTGTGCATCTTAGTCTGTATTGTTCTATCTATCAGGAAGTATTTCACCCAGTTATACAATCTGCCATGTATTCCTATGCTCATCATCTTCATCAGGAGACCTTTTCTCCATACTCTGTCATAGGCCTGCTGAAGAAGACTGCCACTGTGTGTTTCTTATTCTGGAAGCCATCATGTTTTCTTTGTGTCAGTCTGAACAGCTGGTCTTCTGTACAGTTGTTGGTTCTGAAGCCTGCCTGTTCATGGCATAGAACACCAGAACTCTCAAGGAACCAATATAAGCGCCTGTTTATCATTCTTTCTGCAACTTTGCCCAAACATGATGTTAAGGATATCAGGCGGTAGCTTTTGGGGTCATCTGGAGGCTTTTTGGTTTTAAGAATGGGGACGATATATGCATTTCTCCATGCCTTTGGAAGTTTGCTTGACCTCCAAGTTTTATTAATAAGCCTGAGAACTACTTCTCTCCCAGACCGGCCAAGATGTAGCAGCATTTCATTGTGGATCTTATCTGGGCCTGGGGATTTTTTAGGTTTTAATTTCTTCAGGGCTTGCTCTAATTCATCCATGCTAAATTCATTTTCAAAAAGGGAGTCGCTGGCTGTTGGAGCTCTCTCTTGTTTCTTCAACTGAGAGAGCTGTGTTCTATTGAGTTCTGACCTGCTCTGTTAACCGAGGCAAAATAATGATTGAAATGTTCTGCTTTCTTCTTGTCTTCAGTGATTGTCTTACTCCCATCTGTCACTGGTTTTGGGTTCACCCTTCTACTTTCTCCGGAGAGGTTTTTAACTAAAGTCCATGCTTTATTTCCATTCTAAGGTCTAAGTTGGAGCAAGTTTCTGTCCATTTATCTCTTTTAGCCTTATTAACTACAAGCTTTACTCTGGCATATGCTTTATTGTATTGGATCTTTGCTTCTGTTGAACGTGCAGTTTCGAGCAATATTCTTGCTTTATTCCTTTCAGATATAGTATTTTGATGAGAAGGAGAAAAATTGAGTACATTATGAGGGTAGGGAAGTTGGCTGGGAAGAGAGGCGGAGAGAGACAGAGAGAACAGATGCTGAACAGTTTGACATCATGGCACTGAAGATCATCTGTGTCAGAGTTGGCTGAAAGTACACGAGACAGAAGGTTGTGGATAGACACGACTACCAATGCTACACAGCATAGACTTTAAGAAGAAGATAAAGTGTCAGTGGGCATATTTACCATAACATTACAACAACAAAAGACACACACACACACACACTTACACATGTTGTAAATTTTCTGGCAATTTACTTTTAGGTATTCCCACTGACTTTTGTGCCCCTCTTTGAAAAAATGTGCCTAGCATGTGAATATTTCCATTCAACTTCACAAACTGTTTCCGCTAAGAAAGTAAATAGAAAATAACTTTTAGACCAAATCTGAGTTTATAAACATGAGCAATTAAGGTATGGTGGTGATAATATTTACATTAACATATTACACTGAGTCAAACATTCTAATGTGGGGCTTTTGGAAAGAATTAAATTCTAGGGAATCAATAGATGAGGAAAAGTTGCTAGCGAGACAGACAGGCAGGCATGGACGCCCACACACAAACAAACAAACAAACTGATAACAATTTAACTAGAATGTTCTTGTAGAGAATGAGTTGAAACAAATATGGAGAGGACTTGAGGGACCTACACATGATGGATAAGGACAAGACAACCTGGCATGAACTGGTTCAAGACTACACTGGAGTATAAAGGGAAGAAAAAGAAAAAAAGAAGAAGAAGAAGAAGAAGAAGAAGAAGAAAAAAGAGGAAATTATCTAAGTGGCTTCTTGGTAGACCCAGCTTTGAGTGGGTACCAGGTGCAGTCCTGGGAAGTAAAGGCAGCCGACATGAACACATCACCCACCAAGTGCCGTTTGGTCTATAAAATATAGGTTTAACCTTATGTTCCCAATACGCCTGAAAGGCGTGGAAAAGGGTCCTTTACTTTACTCAAGATCAAGCACTGCATCTGTATTTACCTTCTGGTCATCAAGATGAATTCCACTTTGCTCAAAATCAAACATGAAGAGTTCAGCAATCCGCTGGTCAACTGCATCTGTAGGAACCGTATCTCCTTCAACAAGCACAGTTTGGAGAGCGCGAAACAGCTCAACATTTGTATTCAACCTGTTCGGAAGTAGATTACAAAATTCTAACTGCAAATATTTAACCTGCTCAGAAGTAGATTACAGAATTATGACTTCCCCGTGTGGGTTCCGGGACCCCATTGTGGGGGAAAACAAGAATAGACCCACTGCCTCCCCAAAAGCATGTTGTAAGAGTCAACTAATTGGGAGCTTCCTTTGAAGTCGGAGTGCATCTGCCGGAGAGGCAAGGAACCAACAGTCTGCATTCAAGTGAATCAGATCTGTAAAACTGATGCACATGCAACACTCAGGTTCTGGAGCAGGACTGCAGTCCAGAAGTAGACGAACAACCAGAACTTTCCGCCAGAGTGTACAGCTGGTGAACGCGAAGAAAAAGAAGAAGAATTATGACTGAAAAAACACAGATGCCAAATTATTTTATGTAAAACTACAGTTTTTATGACTAAAAGACTGAAATAGTTGGGGGATATAGAGAGAAGAGAAGATAATGAGAGACTGAAAAAAATATGCATACAAAAGGGCTGAATAGGAGTAGACCACGAGGCAGACCAGGAAGATACTGGAGAGATGATATTCAAGCAACCCTACAGACCTAGAATTACCAAGTCAAAAAAGAAGGCCGGTTTCGCTGCTTGAGCTATTGAGTTTAGTGCTTGGTGCAGCCATATGAGCTGTATTTTTTTCATGCGGAATGCCTTACATTTGTGAAGGGGCTTAGTCGAGGTATTCAATATGTCCGGTAGCTGGTTTGCATGTGGGCTGGTGAAAAATCTTATGCAATAATTCTACAAGTGTATAGCAGGCCCGACTATGACAAACTGCATTTCTGGTGGCAACTGTTGGCTCTGGTACTTCTAGCAACTGCCATAAGCTTTTACTGCGTGCGCATATTACTGGACTGTGCCTGGGATAACTGCTTGTTCACCAGTTTTTGAAATGAGGTGACCTGATTGCTGTGAAGTTGAAACCTCGACTAAGACTAAGAAGGCCAATCACAGATATGATGAACTGAGGCATATAACATCCGCAGCAATGAACTTCTGAGGTCTAGAATGCTTACAAAGAAGAAGTAGAATGCAATTCTCTTACTGTCTTCATGATTATGCTAACAGTAAACATATTCAAGGATAATAAAATGATAAAAAATAAGTCAGAATTTTTTTTATTTAACAATTACACCCTGTGAGATGATATGATTGAGAAAAACTGCCAACTTAACCATCAGAAACTAAGTGAGAAATTATATGAGCAGCCAGACTCTGAAAACAACACCTTGCATCAAATTTACTGTGAAGTCATCTTATTAGTGTACTCCAGCAAAGCCTAAGGGGGATGTTGTTGTAAAGGAATGGGTAGGAGACACAATAAAGAATAATAAAAAAAATCTACTCCTTGAGCCTATCCCTACTCCAAACTTACAAAAACTCCAACAAATAATGTTGTGGTGAGCGGAAGCCAAAACCCACACCTAAGCTATAGTAACAAGAAAAAAAAGTTCCTTAGGTGGGGCATAAGACCTATAGTGTCTTAACCCTGACAGTATATGTTCTGTATAAAGTCTAATTAACAGTCCCAGTAAAACTAGGCATACTAACTACAAGTTATCTAAGTTAGTTGCATATCCTTTACAGGACTTTTGCAGAACCCACCCCAGCATTTTTTGGCTGTTGTGGTTTTTAGGCAAGTTTGCGTCCAGTAGTTTGCCATTGCTTTATGGATGGTCGGCTTCTCGATAACACTGTCGAAACCAACGCAAGGCGCAAGGAACGCAGCTGGGATTGAACCTGGCACCCTGGCATTACAAGTTATCTACTGAAGGAAATTTAGGTCTAACCATTGAAAACATACTACACCGATGAATTCCATGAGTCAACCTAACTCTCTCTCTCTGCTCAGTCTGCCGCACCCACACTGTGTTGAGACAAAGTGCGGTCAACAACGAGGGGTGACCGACCAGCGTGATGAGCCTGAGAGAAAGAGAACGTTATTTTCCAAGTCTCAACCTTTTTATCACCTTGCCAGATTTTAATTTGAGAGTGCAGTCAAACCAAACTTTTATTAATAGCCTTGGCCACCTGGCTACATCAGAATTCAGCCACAAGAACTACCAACAGCTCTATCTGGGATCTGCCCTGTCGGACAGGAATTCAGGAAGTAGATCTTTGAATTGCAGGGGACTCAAGCTTTAAAGTAGCAGCATGGAGGGGAGTCAGTAAGTCTTTGGCAATACGAAATTTAAATCTTCATTATCATCTGTTTCCACTTCTGCCATTATACGTTGTGGGGAAAAACAGTTTGCAATCTATTGCTTGATGAGCAGCACTGGCTATTGTCATTGGTGACGATGTAGAATCTCTTAAATATCATAAATCCATGATCTTCATGGCCGCCCTTTTGCTTTCATTTCAGATCTTTTAATGTGTAGCGCCTGCGTTGGTAGTTGTTCTGGCTGCATTCTTACTAAATGAAAAAACCAACTAATCTTCTGTTTCTCAGTGAATCTGCTACATGGTTTTGTTCCTTCAGTGTCTGATAATTTCTAACTTTACCTTGGATGGTTAAGTTGGCAGCTTTTCTCAGGCATCTCACTTTGCAGGTGTTAATTTAACAATTATGGAAATATGTGTTTTTTGTTGCCACAGATCATTGCCAACGACTAAACATCTACAAGAAGAAACTTACTGTTCCACTAGACTAGACAGGTCAACACAGGTCTCCTCTGCTGCATGAGCATACTCTTTGTTGTGGTGAAGTATTCTTATAAAGTCAGCCTAGGTTGTTTAAAAAAAAGACATGAACATGTGAAAAGTTGAATGAGGAATTCTTCATGAACCAGAAAGTATTTACACACAACAGCAAACATATGCTTCTTCTTACTCCGCATTTGCTCTTGAAATAGCAGATGTTGTGTTGTTGGTTACCAGCTCGGTTGTCTTCTTTTTCTTCTTCTTCACATTCACCAGCTGTAAACTCTGGCAGAAAGTTCTAGTTGTTCATCCACCTCTGGACTTTAGACTTGTTTAAAAACCTGAGTGTTACGTGCACATCTGTTTTACAGATCTGACTTATTTGTATGCAGACTGTAGATTCCTTGCCTCTCAGGCAGATGCACTCCAACTCTGAAGAAAACCCCCAATTAATCTACTCTTATGACATGCTTGTTGTGGAAACAGTGGGTTCTATTCTTGTTCTTTTTCCAAAATGGGGCTCCAGAACCCCGTTAGGACATGTTTTAGCACAGCAATTTCCGGTACTCGCTGCTGTCAAAATAGACGTTAGGCAGGGTCACTGTTGTGAGTCGTGGCAAAATTTTTGCTTCTGCCCTTCTGCCAGACGGTGGCCGTTGCGTTTTTGATCTATTTGTAGTGTGAAAGGATATAGTTTCATCGCCCAGCTACTGAGCTGAGTGCATGGTGCTACCCTGTGAGCTGTGGATTTCATTTGGAATGTTTTTCAACTGTGACCAACGTGGTGTTGTGAATTGTAGATTGAGAAATTGGCGCGTGGTCTGTCGTCGCAATATTGGCGGCGCCCTTATGTGATTATAATTGATTGCGTGTACAACTGCTGGTTTTTTGGTTACCTCTGCAACCTTCGACGATGAGCTGCATTTCTTATGCCGGACTGTTTGTGTTAGAACTTCTGATGGCTAGTGTATGCTTTTACTGAGTGTGTATGCTAGTGCATATGCTGAGACAGTAGTCTGTCAACTCTCCACAAGGGACTGTGATCAACATTCTGTGTGTTTTTAGTTGGCACAGGAGCGGAGCAACTATGGGGTGACCCTTTTGCTATGAAGCTGAAACTAACATTACCATTACCATTAGCAAAGCAAAAACTGGCTCTGATAAATATGGAACATACACAGTGTATGTATATACATGATTTCACAAAATTACACCAGTAATTAAAATAAATAAAAAATATTACAAGGACATTAAAGCTTAATGAGGAGGAAGACAAAAGACCTACACACAACCAAATGAACGCTTTGACCAAAGCATTTTATCAATTCACAACACCAGAAGAAGAATACAAGACCAGTCTCAACACGAGGGAGGTCACATGAATAAACTATAGAGAAATATGCACCAAATTAATTTTTGTCATATACACCAGTAAATAAAAGGGTCAAATGTCAAAATGGTGCAGCAGGGAGAGACCAGGCGATCTGGCAGACACTTCCCACTCAGGGAAAAGACAACACGGACAAACTGTGCAAGGTGCTGAAGATGGGGATGGAGTGTAATGGGATGTGAATGTCTAAAGTACTATGATGACAGTTCTTAACTTAACTCAGCAGCAGTACACATACTAACTGCCATAAAGTCCATTGTACTAAATTTACAGCTGTACACACAGACTAGTACACACACACAAACTGCCACAAAGTCTATCGTACTAAATCTCCAGCTCTACATACAGACCAGTACACACATACACCTGTTACAAAGTCCATCATACCAAATCTACAGCACTACACACAGACCAGTACATACACACACAAACAGCTACAAAGTCCACCATACCAAATCTACAGCTGTACACACAGGCCAGTACACACACACACACACACACAAACAGCTACAAATTCCATCATACCAAATCTACAGCACTACACACAGACCAGTACATTCACACACAAACAGCTACAAAGTCCATCATACCAAATCTACAGCTGTACACACAGGCCAGTACATACACACACAAACAGCTACAAAGTCCATCGTACCAAATCTGCAACTTTACACAGTGTGTCTGACAATTCATCAAACACCATGACCATCTTGCGACTCCTTGTTGGAGATGATGCCTCTTCTATCAATTTGCACACTCGCTCTTCTACTCTTTCTTTCAGTATATAGAAGCCAGTAGGATCCCTCAACTCAGGAATACCAAACAACCCCTAGAAAAAGGAAAGGAATACATATTAATTATTAATTACAAAGCATGAAGGAAATCACAATAACGTAATACACAATTATGCATGTTATTGTATTACAGTCGACAATACTGCAC